AAGCGAGATTCGCAAACCACAACTTCTGCCCGACTCGTTTCCACGTGCCAACGGAGAAAGGACTGGACTCCCCGCCGGAAGCGGTAGACGCGTGCGGATCGATCTTCGGCTTGACCGGTGGGGTCCACTCCGACTGCTTTTCCGCGTCGAAAGTAGCGAGAGATGGATCCTCATCCTCCTGCTCCGGTAACAAAAAGTCGCTGGTCGGTTTGTCCTGCTTCTCCAAGTCCTCCAACAGTTTCTCACCCGGCAAAGCCCGTGGTCCGCTCGCGCCACCGGACTGCTTCCCGTCCGGATTACTAGCTTGTTTTTGCAGCTTCTGCTCCCGGAGAGGGTCCACCTGGCGGCAGCACTCCCGGAAGGTGGGAAGGGATTTCAACCTTTCGCGCAGCGGGTCCTTCTGATTCGGGAGTCTCTGTAATGGGAGTGCACAACTCCCCCTCCCCCTCACATGTGTAGCATGACCCGCAAGACAAACACCAGCACACGTGGATGCTGTGCATAACAAGTTCATACGCTGATTGTAGTACTGTTTGTGCTTCCAAAATTTGTAATGCAAGCAGTGCTACAAGGCAGCAGCTGAATTTGAGACTTCGTGTGACCAATGAGGGAGAGGGGGGGTTGTGCACTGTCATATCTGTCCGGTCGTAGAAATAATGACCCTTCTCCGTTGCCTCGGCTGTGTGTTCTTGAAGTTGTCGCGAGAATTGGACCTGCCGTTTAGCTATCGAATGCAAATGTATCTGGGTCTGGAACAAGAAAATATGCAAGATTAAGATTTGCAATGCATCTACTCGCGGATTTCCACGCACATGGTCATCTGCAATACACACGACAACACAAGCATCTTCACACATTTTGCGAGACCTTTTTGATGCTTGTCTCGCATGAGAAATCCAGCTTTTTTCTACTTCGCAACAAGTGGGCGGCTTTTAATGTTCGGACAACGCAGATTTTTTGTCATGTTGACTTCGCATGACGAGCTTCACTCTTCCAGACCCAGGCTGATTATATTAGCAATCCATATTACCTGCTGCTGCTGCGGCGTGTCGAGGTTCACGGCGATGAGGGACTCTACGAGCTGACTTTGCTGCGTCACTTATCAAAAGGAAAATTCCCCCCTCCCCATATCGAAAAGGTATGTCTCAGAAGATTTGCAGTGCTGATTTGCGACCACGAATCGTCTCTGTCTTGCAAGAACGCAACCCCACAGGCCCCGCCGCATTCTGCGGGCGGTTTGTGATGCTGCTCGCCCTACAGCCTAGACGTTTGCCATGCTCGGCGCCTAGCCCAAAACATCTCTATTCAGTCTGGAGATAGGCCTGCAGTCCTCTCCAGCAGGACAAATCTGATTTGCGTACGCAAATCCAGCATCAGAAACTTCGTTTTGATATGGGGTTGGGAAATTTTCTTCTTGATATCACCGCCGCCGTCGGTGAAGATCCCCCGCCGTACGGGGTGGCTTTCGGGCTGGCAGCGGGATTCTTATTCTTTTTCTGCAGTCGCGATGCGCCCACCCACGGGGGCATCCCGACGCTGAAGCCGAACATTTTGAAGCGGTCCGCTTTCGGCGCCTTCTTGTGACTCTCGATGGCCGCTTTGGTTTGCGCCGCCTGGACTGCCGCGGCGAAGCTGTCGCCCTTCTTCTTCTTTTTCTCCTTCTTCTCGGGAGCTGGGTGAAGAAGTGTGGAAGAACGATCGTGGAAAAATAGAAATTGAGTTTCACTGTTCTAGCAACATGTTTCAAAAAAATCATCATTTGCCAAATCTGTAGCTGCGAGATATTATGCGGCCCACATCTACCTCACGACTTTTCTTGCTGCATTCAGTCACGAGAGGTCAACACCTGTCACATGCCTCCTGCAAGAAAGGAGCGCATGTTTTTCTAACTACGACTCTCGTCATTTTTTGATACCTCCAGCGGGCCGCCTTTGTTCCGCTTGGGTATCATTGTCTGTTTTATGCGTCACGTAATTTGACCGCGCTTTTTTTGATTCTCATTCTTACATAAAATGCATCGATGGTCCAGCAGCTGAATGTGCTGTAGGTGTGGCCAGCATTGTATCTTGCGCGTGATAATAATTTCGACGATACTACTTGCGCAACGTAAACAAAAAAAAAACGCTTCTTACGCTGCTGTTCGAACTTACCTGCAGCTGGGTCTTCTTCCTTTTCCTGCCGTTTCAACTCGTCCCTTTCCGCCTTCTTCTGTTGCTGCTCACTCGACTCCAGGAAATTGTTCAACACAATGGCCAGCGTGATGTTGAGCAAAAAGAAGTTTCCGATCGCGATTAGGAGCAAGAAAAACACCGCCCCGCCCTCCGGTGCGACGCCGTCCTGTATCACACAGAAAAAAGTAGGCAGGTCGTATTTGTAATGCAAAAATAAATACACAAAATGATCTGTTTTGCATACCCTAAGCAGCACGCTATGGGGCCGCCCATGACAAACATTTCTGTGCGTTTGTTTTTGCATTACAAATAATGTGATCTGCCTCCTTTTTTCTGTGTGATATCCTGCACCATGTACATGGTGATGGTCCAACCCTCTAACGTCATGGTCGCGAAACAGGTTAGGAGCGCAACGAAGATGTTGTCAAAGGAATTCTCGTCCATCTGTAAATCGGGTAAGTTAATCTCCTCGGGCAAGTCGTACACGTTCCCCTTCACGCCCAACTCTATCCGAAGTTAAAATGTCCCCACCCCAGAGCTGTCATGCAAATGCGCAATGACAGAAACATTTGTATACGCGCATCTCCATGAGAGGCATTTCCAGTCGTGTTCTGGCATTTGTTATGCTGTAAATAGGATGGGAAAGTGGCTTTCTCATGCAGCTTCCCTTGCTAACCACCAGTACACTGCAGATGGAAACCTGTCATGCACAACTTCCAAAGCCTGGAGATTTGTGTTGCAGATTTACCAACTTGATTATGGGGCGGGGACGTTTTTGCTCAGGATAAAGCCCCACCCCGTGTTATCCGTTTTCTTCTTGCGATACGGCCCCTGGTATGCATTGCAAAAGTATCGCACTCGTAGTATTGCAATACAAATTAGCTCAGCATGACAAATGGAATTTCCCATGCTGCTTTAGCTTGAACAAGAAATTTGTTTTGCATGACTGCCATTAGTACGAGTACGATACTTTTGCACTGGATACCTGGTCCGTGTCGTCCCAGTAGCTACCGCCGCAACTAGTGGCTAACTCCGGTTGGTTGTTGTCCGAGTAGGAGACTGTTAGGGTTTTTTCCCCTAAAACCCTTAATGTTTCGAAATCCTCCTCCTCCATATCGTCTTCGGATTTGTAGGATTCACAGCTGTACCTGGCCCCGCACAGCCGGCTTTGCTCGTTGTCGATCGGCCACACGACGAACTTTAAATTGTCTTCGAAATCCTGCTTCTGCTTCCCGAAAGTTCTTCTGACGTACCGGTCGTAAATCCTTTTCAGAAACAACCGGAAAGCGAGCTCATACTGCTCCTCGGTTAAAGTCGCAGACCGGTAATACGCGGCAGGGGCCGCTGTAACGAGCAACGACCCAGAAGAATCATGGGTGATGGTTGTCGTTAGTTTCCGCTTTTTCTCCTCTTTCAATTTCGCTAGTTGTTGAATCGGCGTGAGCACGCGTTTGAGTTTTGATTTTACACTTGATGGCAAAGAAGACCTCGTTGACGAGTGCGACAATTTTCTACTATTCACCGCATTATTCGCTTTCGACCTGAAATGCGTCCTCCCCTGTTTCTTTGTCCTCCTCGACTTCGCAGAGGGCAGCTGCTGCTGTGACTGCTGCAAATAAGAACTGCTTGTTTCTTCTTTCTTTCCTTTCTCTTCCAACACCATTCCCCCGCTGCTGTCGAAAGTGACTCCTGCGTCAAACCCGTTCTCCGCCAGTTTTCGCAGCAAATTCGCCGGATTTGCGGAGTTGTAAGTCTCGACCAATTCGCTCAACCCGGATCTAGGATTCCCCGCTAAATAATTCTTGAATTTCACGTAGTACTGCGTTTTGTCATCCTGCGTCCAAAAGCCCTGCATGTTGACACAAAACGTCGTGCAGGAGACAGCGGCTTGAAATTGCTGCAGTGTTTGGTACATTACTTTGTCCGTGTACCCCGGTATCCTACAGAAATGTACACCTAGTAGTGCACCAGACAAAAATATCCTTGTCATGCTGTTTTCCATGTCACAGACACCCCCTTGTCGCCTATTCAGCATGACAAACTTTTAAGACACCTTTGTCATGCTTGTCAGCATTACGATCTCCATTATGCACACGTGACAGAGAACCGCCCCTGTTGCAGATCCGCATCAAAAAGCAAAGTGGTGACACAGAAACAGCAACAGAAGTTCACTTTTTTGTTGCTGCTCTGGGTGTACTGTTCTGAAGGATACCCGGCCAGTGCGCGTTGTTCCCGACCGCTGGTTCGTAGTTTTGGTTGATATGGATTGCGAATATGTCTGGGTCTGGAAACTTGTAATGCTAAAAGGGAATAGTAGATGTGCCGCAAGACGCAGCTATGCATGACAAATTTTGTGGCTGCCATGTCTTATGTATTCCGCATGGCAAGCTGCCTTTTCGCATGACAGTTAAGAGGGCTCTTTCGTGCCTATGCTACACAGATTCTCGAGTCATGCCAGACAAGCATGACAGACTTGCACTGTTCCAGACCCAGACATTTTTGCATTGATTTGATAGTTGAACCAAGGGTGCAATTCCGGATTCGCAAAATAAGGCGCGGACACATTGTACGGGGAAATCCAATCCTTATACGCCGGCGGGTAGTGCTGTTTGTTCGTGCCGGTGTCGTCCCCGAGTTCCAGCATCGCCCCGTGTAAGTCGTTACTCGTCCCACCAGAAGTGGAAGTAATGTGGTTGTTCCACAGTCGCACCAATTCGTCACTGTACGTCGGGGGAAGCAAAATTTCTATCGGGGATTGCGACAACCTACACCTTCTATTCAACCTCCCGCCGAAAAACGTCATGCCGATCAAGGAGAAGATCAGGTTGATGAAGACACACAACGCCATATGCTGTGAAAAAACGTTCCCACACCAGAGGCAAGATGGTAAGTCTGCTAGACAAATCAGCAAGCTTTGGCTGTTGCGCATGACAAGTTTGGCCTCGTAGAATAGTCCTGTTTAGCAAGTTCAGCAGCATCACAGATCTAGCGTATCATTGTGATTGGAGCATCACAAGTTCCGAAACACGACTGGAAAATGATCCCCATGGGCCTGCGCATGAGAAATATTTTTCGCTTGCACATTTGCATGACAACTCTGGGGTGGAGACGTTTTCACTCTGGATATGCCACCGCGGAACCGAGCTTCGGGAGAGAGGAAAACACCGTGACCACCAACGCTTTTAACCCTGGCATGGTCGACAAAGTTCGCAGTGGTCGCAACACACGGAAGGTACGCAAAACGGCGATGAAGCTGTTGTCGTCGTTATCCTATTTAAAAACGTCCCTGCATCTACAAAAAAATCTGTAATGCACATCCGCAAGAGAGGAAAGTGTAGTCGTGTAGTTCTGGGATTTGTAATGCTGTCAACTGGATGAGCGGGCGTCTTTGTGATGCGGGTGTCCTTGCTAAACAGCACTACACTGCAGATGATAACTTGTCATGCGTACCTCCCAACGCTGGGAGATTTCTGTTGCAGATTTACCAACTTGACTATGGGGAGGTGGGGACGTTTTTACTTTTGATAGTCGTCGCCCGTCATGATCATGGTTGCCACGAAATCCACCAGCCCGGAAACCACAACCGTTATCAAATGCAAATATGTCTGGGTCCGGGGGATTGCGAGATTTGTCGTGCTAGTCTTTCATGACTCTGACCTCTGTACTGCATGGCCGCGAAGAGCTCCCCCTCCGTGTCATGCAGTAGTAGTAGTAGTAGTAGTACCATTTAACTCCTGGCGGGTGGGCGTTAGAACAGATTTAGCCTCTGCCAATACCTGGGCGTTAGAACAGATTTAGCCTCTGCCGATGCCCCTAGGTGGAGACACGGTCCACTTCCTAACTACCATCCGGCATGCAAAAACGAAGTTTCTCATGCGGAATACGCAACTCAGAAGCAGGAAAAAAACTTGTCATGCTTGGCAGCGCATTACAGTGAGCTCACTAGTCCCTTCCTTGCATCACAAGTTTCCAGACACAGACATATTTGCAATGCATAACGGTGAAATCCAGCCAGTTCCAGCCGTCGCGTAAATACGTGTTTTTCCCGTAGAAGAAACCGTAGGCGACAATCTTCATCAGGAACTCGATCACGAAAATCAGCAAAAAAACCGGCTCTCCCGCAACCAACAAACTCGCCTGCCAGTTGTCGTCCGTACTGTAGTCCTGGATGCAGTACAACGCCGCGTTCCCCAAAATGGCCCCGATGATGAAGGTTTCGAACACTTTCAGAGTCACGATTCGGAAGCAGTAGCGGCGGAAATTCGATTCCTTCGGGAAGAGGTTGAGAGATAAAGGGATCAAATCCTGCATCCGCTGCGTCATGTTTCCTAGCGCTTCCGCCCGGGCGAGCACCTCTGGTGTTAAAATGTACGTGGTGATCGGAATAATCGTATACCGCAGGCTGTTATGCATTGCAAATATGTCTGGGTCTGGAAGAGTTGGAACTTGTGATGCTGTCTTTGGGTTCTAAAAAATAAACCGGTATTGCCATGACCAGCAAGAGGAGACCAGTTTGTGCTGCGCGCAGAGGTCATCTTTCATGCGAAATAGGCATCACGAAGAACTCTAAAAATCTGTGATGCTAGGCCAACATCACAGGCATCAGAAGTCATGTAAAATGTGCATGACAAACCTTCCATTCTTCCAGACCCAGACATATTTGCATTTGATAGCTGTACCGCGTAATCCTCCCGATCAACCGTTTTCCAACCGGGTCCTTGCGCGAGCCGGAATCATCCTCTTTCGAACTCCCGGGGACGACCAACACTTTTTTCGACTTCTTCCCGATCGCGCCATAGGCGTCCTCGCAGAGGACGAGTTTCTGGATCGAGGGGGGCAGTTTCAAATCTTTCTTCGCTTCTTCCAACCGCGCCAGCTTCGACTCGATCCGGCTCTCGACCCGAGCCCGCTTCGCCGTGTAGTGGTCGACAAGAGTTTTCACTAGTAAAGCGATCTGAATCCGCAGTAAAATTTTCACTTCTTCCCGTCGCATCTGCAGCCCCTGGATGTCCAGGGAGGTCTGGGACGCGCGGCGCACGAGCGACTTCAAAATGCGGAGTTGCGCTTCTATGGGCGACAAGCCCAAACTCGCCGCGGAATCCTCGACCGAGGGCATCCTCGCCAGGAATTTTATTTTTTGCGCGGACGTTTGCTGGACTACGGCGGAGTTCTCGGATGATTCCGAGCTGCTGGTCTGCTTCCTCGGCGAGCCAAAAACAGACTGCGGCATCCGGGGGTCGTCCGGGCCGATGGTCGCGGTGGAACTCGCGTTTGGTAAACCCGGTAAACCTATCAAATGCAAATATGCCTGGGTCTGGAATCTTGTAATGCTGAGGGAGTTAGAATGTGGAGGCCACAAATGATGGCTCAGCATGACAAGTTTCTGAGCCTCTAAGCCTTGCCTATTCCGCATGACAAACTGCGTTTTTGCATCACAGAAAAGTAGGGCCTTGGGGTAACGCGCATGACAGACTTAAGAGTCTTGCTAGCCTAGCATGACAAACCTTGAACTTTTCCAGACCCAGACATCTTTGCAATCCATAAAACCACCCGTTCCTAACCGCTGGAAACTCGTCTCCCCGAATGCAACCGACTTTTTTCTCGGGCCCTCGTCCTTCTCTGCGGTGGCCTGGCGCTTCAAAATTCCTGCTCCTGGACTGGAGGGCGGGACGGTTTGCTGCTGGGCTTGTTGCACTGGCGGAAATAACCCGCCAATGTTTTTCTTTGCAGAAATTGTTCCGCTTTTCGCGGCGTTGTTTTCCCGCTCCTCCGAACTAGAACTTTTGTTCACGTCCGGGCCAAACGCGTTTTCACTGCCGCCGTCCCCCTCTAACACGGATTGGTAGAGATCGTTTGACATCGGCACTTCTTCCACTTGCTGCCCGGGTGCGATGGACAGCATCGGGTTACTGCCATCCCGCCCGGGGTCAAACACCTTCGGATCGGTGGAAGTGTTGTCCACCGGTGGCACATATGCAGCGCAAATATGTCTGGGTCTGGAAGAATGCTAATTTCTCATGCATATTTTCCATGTCCCATGAGGTCTGGAATGCAGGACCTAGCATGACAGGTTTTGCTAAGTCTCTATCATGCCTATCCCGCATGACAAATTGCCTGTAAACTTGTTCAGAAGTGGACAGCTTTTGGTACTCATGCAGCACAAATTTTTGCACGATCCAGACTTAGCATGACAAGTTCGCGTCCTTCCAAACTCCCCGACATATTTGCAATGCATAGCACACTACTCGCCTGGTCTGACCCTGAAACCTGCCTATTCGTGAACCGAAACGGCGGCAATTTCCGGCTCGCGCCGTCCTTCGCGTCTTGGAGTTGCGCGAGGTCTTGGAATATCAAATGCAAATATGTCTTGGGCTGGAAAAGTGGAACTTGCCGTGGTCACTCAGAATCATGCAAAAATCTGTGTTGCATGATGACCAAAAGCTGTCCACTTTCGACCAAGTTGAGAAGACGTTTCCTATGCAGGATAGGCATGATGGAGACCTCGCAGAATCTGTCATGCTAGGATCTGCGTCCCAAACCTCATTGGCCATTCAAAATATGCATGACAAGTCTTGCACTCTTCCAGCCCCAGAAATTCTTGCATTTGATATGGAACGTGTTACCTAAAACCGCGACCGGCAGAGAAATCGCCAAAATCCCGCTCAACATACAGAACAGCCCACCGACCGATTTCCCGACAATCGTTTCCGGCACGATGTCACCGAACCCGACCGTGGCTTTCGTCACCACCGTGAACCAGAGACTCGCGCGGATCGACGGGAAGTTGATGGTGTGCATGGGAATGGCGTAGAAGTTGTCCGGACCGACCTCTGAGGGCACCATGTCCTTGTCTTCCACCAAGTAGTAGCAGTAGTCCACGAAATGCCGGTCGTGGAAGGTTTGTGAATCGCATTCGTACGCGCAGTGAATCTTCTTGTCCCCGTGCGGCGTATTGCTCGTGATCCCGCCCTGGATGGTGATAAAATCACGAAACGCTCCCCGGGTGTCCGGTTCGAAACAGGATAACCGCTCGAAGGAATAGACCAGAGCCCCGAGCAGTATACCAGACACGATGATGAAGAAGATTAAAATGTACAACGCCGTCGCGGACACGCGGAAGGTCGCGATGAGTAACCGCCCGATCTTCATCGACATCAGCAGCCGGATTAACCGTGCCATACGGAAGATTTTCAGGACTTCCAGGTGCTTGGAGCCGCCGAAGAGAGTCTGTTTTGGGAGTAGATGTTGGGAGATTTTTTGGACGAATTCACAAATTGCTGCATCCACAAGTAACCAGCATGACAAAACGCATCAGCTTTGCAAATAAATCTGCAATTATTATGCACAGGGCAGCTCTAGCAATCGCAAAAATTGGTCATGCATCTGAAACACAAAAAAAACGCCCTCACTAATAAAATACCGCGAAATATGGAACTATTGCCATGAAGTCGCAGACGTTGAGCAGCTTCGTCATAAATTGGTATCTCGTCGCCCCGAACGCGTTGCAGACGTAAAACCGCATGACAAACTCGACGGAAAAGTAGGCCACGATGAAGCCGTCAATAATCAACCAATGTAACGGCTTGATGTGCCCCAACGTGCTGGGATGGGTTTGCACGAGAACTGAGATGATAGAGATGATGATGAAAAAGTCTCCCACTCTTGAGACTAATTGCGGTGTCGTCCAACTTTTCGTCCCCAGTCTTCTCTCCATAAAGCTGTCTTTTCTCTTCACCGGTTTCTGCTTTTTTGACGATGAATGCGCAACACCGACGTTGTTAAAGTTGTTGAACTGCGGTTGCGGCTTCGTACTGTCTTCCACGGCAAGTTGCTTCGGCGGGAAAAGCAGCTCTCGTGCGTATTTTTCCTCGTAGTAAAAGTACAGCCGGACGATTTCTAGATCTACGTGCAGCGCGGGCTCTGGAAACCCGAGGTAGATGTACCATTTCCGGGCCCATTTGTAGTGCCACGGGCTGTCTTCCTCGGTGGTAGCATCGAACTCGTAAACTTCTCCCGTTTTGGTCGTCCCGTGCCCCGTGCCAATGAACAGGTCGGAGAGTTGGGTGGACAACGCCTGGGTCTTGTTCCGCTGCACATTAGGGTCCGGCGGCGCGTTGCGCATATCCGGGACCGCGCCCGCGGCAAAAGTCGCCATGGTGTTTCAGGCGGGCGGGGTGCTGCTCCTGGTTTCGGACAAGAACTCCTGCAGATTTATTGCCGTGTTTGTGGCCCCCGTCGGTGCCTCCAGGAGTTCCTCATGTTTATTGTTGCGCGCATTTCCGCTACAGCGCTGCTCCTAGTTTACAAGTCGTGCAGCAACTTGTTTTGTTCGTATGTACAGCTACAGCTAGAAAGTATCGGTTCGAAAGAGCAATTTTAATGGTAAAGCATGACGAAAAATGTGAAACCTCGAGCAATTTTGCAGGCGCAGCTCCCCATTTGCCACAATACAAAAGTAGCTATATCATCTTCGCTCAAGTAGGGGTGACAACTAACTTTGCACGCTCTCAGAAGTCTCTTCCTACTCTGACCCACTTTGCGCTCTTCGCAAGGCGGCTTGTTCGCTCCGCGATTCCTTTTGAAGTGCACTCAACAAGTTCACAACTTTGATGAAAACGAAAATCAACACAGGCGTAACGCAGGAAAATCGCAGCGGCAATAGGAGCCTAGCGCTCTCCTCTCTTGAAAGCCGGTGACACGGCAAGACTTATTTTTTTCGATTTTTTCATTGAGAAAACCATTGAAATAGTTGTTGTGAAAAGCAGAAAACAGTTTCTCCTCCCGGTCCATTTCCTACTGCAGTAAACATGCACAAAGTTTTGGTGCTGCTGCTTTTTAGCGATGTGAAAATTACCATTGTCACTACAGTGGTTAGAGCAGAGAGCAGAAACGAAAAAATGTCCACTTGGAATAAAAGGTTGAAAACTACAACTACTATTGGAAATTTTGCGTGGAAACGGTAAAAAGTACAGCGCTAGTAGAAGTTCCAATCAAAGTAATTATGGCTTTGGAATTTTTCGTCTTCGAACCTTTAAAAAAATGCGTGCTGTGACAATGGCAAAATCAATCGGATAATTTCAATGGTTTTTCACAGAAGATCTTCCTGGCACTATAATCAACTTTTCGCGAATGATTTTTGCAACAAGTAGAGCTGATAGGATACCGCTGAATACGTACATGTAGTGCTCGTTCAAAGTATGCAAAACAAGAAGTGCTGAGAGTGATAGTAGACAAGAGCTTGTTAGAGATATTAGAGATAGAGTAGCTAGTTGATTAGTGCGAAAGCAAGATAGACATATGAGAGGCCGTGCTTTTTTTGTGTTTTTTGGTTTTTTGGTAGGTAGTATCTCCCGAGTTAGAAGAGCAGAATTCCCTAGGTCACAGAGATGTTCTTGAATTAGTGAGGATCCGTACTCGAAAAATTTGTACAACGCAGATGCGACACGCGCACCAGCAAAGAAGGAAAGGCATGGTATTGTGAATGAAAAACGATGTAACATGTGACAAAATTGAAATTCAACACCTTTTAATAACGCGACTTCTGAAAAGCCGCAAGTACCGCCTCGGAAAGTAATCAGAATAGGGCGCACGTGAGTGCAACATGAAAAATGTTATGTGAAAATGCAAAACTGTAAATAAAAAGTTGTAATCTGTGTCAAACTGTAAAGTCAGAACTGATACTGAAGAGATCTGAAAGAAATAGACAAAGTACTTTTCGTATAGAAAACAATTCAATTTGGGTACTACTGCTGCTTAGAAAGGGCACCGCCTGTACCACTGCGAAATGGATGGGGATAGAAAGTAACACCGTACACGAAGTACTTGGGGATAGCAATACAGAGAAAGATAAGCATAACAGTTTGATGAGACCGCCTGTCTCGGGGATAAGAAATTGAATTTTGGAGGTTGTAATAAAGCACTTTGGAATAGATGTGATGAAAACTAGAAAAATTCTCGTTATGTGTAAAGTTTTAAAAAAACAAAAGTATGTAAACTGAAATCAGAGCAAAACCGAAAAGAAATTTCAATCGAAAGTAAGTGCTTTACATCACATCACCTACCCCTGCTCCGCCGCTTGCGAAAGCAAAAAGCAGTGTCGAACGCATATCGTGGCTTCCCTTCTTCAAACGGCAGTATGAATTATTGTTGAAAAACTTGCCATGCGCAAAGCATGCGCCTTTTGACACAGTTGCGACGTTCTGTTGCATGCGGCGCCAGTAGAGATTGTTTTGCAAGCATAGTAAAAGCCCCACACCGCTTGTGAAAATAAAAGTGCTTCGTTAATTGTGCTACGAGTTGTACATCAGAAACAGAATAATTTAGAACCTATCGTGAAGATTTTTGAACAACAGAATTTCATTAGCCCTTATGGGCTCCCCACGACTTGAAAGCTCCGGGTGTGGTAGTGCAAACTTTTCACCACGCCGGTTTGCTCGAACGAGATCGAAACTGCTTGGTTCCGCTTCCGGGAAATGTCCTTCCGCTCCCACAAATCCTCGTAGAATTCGCCGAGAAAATCGTTTCGGATGGACAACTGCGTTTGGTAGTTTGATAATGCAGAAACCAACAACTCCCTTGGGTTCAAGTTGGTCATATCCGCTGGGTGGTCACCAGAATGTCTCGACTCCGCAATCGTCGGAGCAGCGGCCACTGCGCCAGTTGCGGCCACTCTCGGCACAATCCCACTCCCATCCGCGCCCGCAGTGGACAGAAAAGCGGCCATGACCGACTCGTAGTCGTCTAACGTAGAGGACTGCTGCTGTTGGCCGTTGTCCCGCCCACTCCGAGGCGTGTTTGCGCTAGCAACTGGCTCGATCCGGGGAACGAAGCCAGTATTTGGATCGAAATAAGCGGTGGAAGCGGTGTTCGCAGCAGCTGTCAGCGCACTCGTCGCCGGAGCAACAGGTGCAACATTCACATCACCGGAATTCGAGCTGGCAGACGAAGCGTTGGCGGAATTTTGCCCTACGCCGGTCGAGTTGCTGGAGTTCGATTCAAACAAAGTAGATTCCAGCATCTGGAACACGTGCAGCACCGCAGATTCGTTGTTTCTCAACTTCAAAAAGACCGAATTGTCCTTCATGTTCCGTTTCGTGAAGAAATTCGACTTGATATCAAATGCAAAAATGTCTGGGTCGGGAAGAATGCAACTTGTTATGCTAAATCTGAAGCATGCAAAAATCTGTGTTGCGTGATTACCAAAAGTCGTCCAGCTTTGACCAAGTCGGGAGGGAGTTTCTCGTGCAGGATAGGCATGAGAGAGATGGCGCAGAATCTGTCATGCTAGGTCCTGCATTCCAAACCTCAGGGGTCATGGAAAAGCGGCATGACAAATCGCGCACTCTTCCAGACCCAGACATATTTGCATTTGATACTTCAGATAGTAGTGCAATTGGTCCTTCGCGTCCATTTTCGAATAATTCATCCAGCCCATCTGCTTCGAATCCCAGTCGACCCCGGTGCGGTCCTGTTTGAGCAGAATCTCCGTGATATTCACCACAATCTGCCGGTTGGACCGGAGCCGGTTCCGAATGCAATCGGCGAGGAGATTGGAAGTGTTGCCGTTAGTGCTCGAAGTAGGAGACTTGTTGTTTCCCGGCAAGTTCGACGGGGAATTATTCCCACTATTTGGCGGCTGCGGCACGGAAATGCCGCAGGTGAACTGCGGGTTGAAATCAAATTTGATCGAGGAAACGTAAACATGCTTCGTCGTCGCGATAGAAGAATTACTGGTATGATCCACCAAGTGTAAATCCTTCCAGGAAACCGTTTTCGCCTCAGAGTCAAACTCCGCCTCGACTGTCCATTTCAATTTCCCCGGCGTAGTTTTGGCAATCACGGAAGGAATGGGCTCCGCGCGGTCGGTTTGCGGCTCGATTTCTTCTTCCACGACGGGCTGCTCGATGTTTCCGGTCTCCGACACGGCACAAGCATGCTTTTTGGATCCGGTATTGGAGTTTCCTTGCTCCTCGTCGTTGTTGTTTTTCGTCGCGCTGGAAGTAGATACAGCAACCGTTTCGTCGGACGTGGAGGATTGCAATTTTTGGGTCAGTTGTTCCTCCAAGTCTTTTCCGAAATCGGCGTCGCTTACCACGACCGGGTTAAACGCGTTGTAAATAGGCTTATTTCTTGCGTTGCTCTTGCTGCTATTATCCCCGCTGCTTGCAACACCAGAGGGTTTCTTGCTCGACAATTTACTGCTTGCGGAATTATTTCCGTCGTCCTCCGAAGTTGTGGGCTCAAACCCGGGCGGGAGTCGCTTTTCGGGGCAGAACTGCACATTGCAGAAATTCATGACGGTTTGCTCCACAATCCGGATCACGTGGCGCATCTCTTCTAACAAAACCGGTTTCAAAAACCCCTTCAACACGATCTGCTCCTCCCCATTGATCGATTTCGGAAGATTCAAGAGCTGCGACTGGCTCGGGGAGAGAGTTAGTTGCTGCGAGGATGGAGAATTGGTAACAGAGGAGAACGCGGAGAAGAAATTGTTGCTCTTGGTATTATTGTTGCTGTTGTTTTCTGGAACTTTCATGCTCGGCGGCGGAACGGTTGGCGGGGAAGCAGCAGCAGTACCAGTAGAAGCTGCTGCTGCTGGTGCTCTCACAGGACTCACCGCGCGTTGGTCCCAGTAACCTGCGAAGGGGTTTTTCACGGTAGACGGTTCGCCATTGCTCTTCTGCTGCGCATTATTTTGATTCTCCCAGAGAGAGGCCGCGCTGCTCCGCTGCTCCCACATGTCGGAGACTGTTGCGGCGCTGGAGGTGGCAGAAGTGGTCGCGGTAGCGGAAGTAGACGTAGTGCAGCTTCCGGGTAGCACCGGCGGCGGGATCGTCGGCGCAGTAGAAGTGGAGGGAGCGCAGCAACTGCTTTTCGCGCAACAAGAGCTTGTTGTGCCGTTGCCAGCAACTCCACCTTCTGCCGCAGCTCCGTGTCCCTGCAGCAGCATTTCCTCCTTCAGCCTTTTTTCCAGCAGCATCTTATTTTGCAAGAACTGCTTATACAAGCCCGGCTCGACGTACGTATTCCCACGGTAATACGACGCCAAAGCCCCGTAAGCCGCAGCGAACTGCTTCTGCGCAGCATTCTGGTCCTTTTGCTGCTGCATCAAAGAGACGTGGTTTGTGGTGGATGCACCACCTACCTGCTCGCCAACGTACTGTTTCGCCGCGTCCACGCCCGCGGCAGCCTGTTGGAAGCGCTGGTGGTTGTCGTAAATCTTGTTGAACGCATCGGAGGACAAAGGTGGAGGGGGCGGCGGAACTTCTTCGGTAGTGTCTTTTGCCACCATCGCTTTCATCAGTTCCCTCTGCGCCGCCGCCTGCTGCACCGCGATCGCCTGCGACTGCGTAGACTTCTGCGCTTGTTCAGCGAGCCGCCGAGCGGCTTGCTGGGTCTGGGGCGAAGATAATTGCAGCGGCGCGCTTGGTGGCGGAGGCGGTGGCGGTGGTGCGACGGTTGGGACCGCGGCATTTTTGCCAGACACGGACAGTTTCCCGGACGAGCTCGACGCCGCAGATTTAACGTTGTTCATCATGCCATCCTTGGAAGTATTCGACTCGGAGTCCCGAGTTAAGGTCGACGGATCTTTTACAATCGGCAAGGTCGAGTCTTTCTTCGGTTCCGTATCCGTCTTCGCTGTCCCGGGGAGATGATGTTGACCCCCAGCCACCCCGCTTTTCATCGTGACCAGCTGACCCGGGACATAGCGGTTGTCGGTATTTTTGTTGCCGAAAAAGTTAAAACTGGTGTTGAACGTGTTTGCTACCGGATTGTTTGATGTAGTTGTAGTACCATGGTGATTCATATCAAATGCAAAAATGTCTGGGTCTGGATGAATGCCAGACTTGTCATGCAGGTTTTCCATGACCCATGAGGTCTGGCATGTAGGACATAGCATTACAGATTCTGTGAGAGTTCTACCATGTCTATCCTGCATGAGAAACTGCCTCGCGATTAGGTCAGAAGTGGACAGCTTTTGGCAATCACGCAACACAGATTTTTACACGATTCAGATTTAGCATGACAAGCTGCTTTGTTCCAGACCCAGACATTTTTGCCTTTGATAATTCATTGCAGTCCCGTTGTTCTTCTCCTGCCAAACCTGTTGGGCCGCGGCTACGGCCTGCTGCTGTTTCCACACAATCTGCTTCGCCACCTCGTTTGTTATTTCCGTTGGTACTCCCTGGCCGGTTTTTTCGATCATCGTCCGGTTCCACGCGTGGATTCTTTGATCGACCTGGTGCTTAATCCGCTCTTCAAAAGCATTGAACCCCCGGTAATTCTCATGTTCCTTGGTCCGAGTACTCTCCGGCCACTGCTTTTTTTTCGGTTGCTGGACCAGGTTGGACAGGTTGAACAGCAAATCACCAGAAGTAGATGCCTTGGTGTTGTTCGCTGCAGTTTTGTTGGAACTGGAAGCTGTCACTTGATCCTCCTCACCGTTATTCGCATTTTGGCCACTGCTAGTGCTATCCACGGGTTGGCAAAACTGCAAAAGCGTCGCGGGGATGTGCGAGGGGGTGTTTAATTTCTGCTGCAGCTCCTTCTCGAGATTGCCGTCGTTGTTCATGTACCCACCTTTGATGGCATGATCACCGACCGCTGGGCGACCGGAGTTATAATTTTCCGGAGTTTTGTTCATCTTGTTCGCCTGCCCATTGGCCGCGATCGCGTTCACCGCAGAGGGTGGTGCGAGTTCCGCGGGCCGCGCGACGGACTGCGCAGCGATGAAAGGGGAACTGCTGGCGCTGGACGTGGCCGAGGAGGACGCGGAGACCGCCGAAGCGAGGACGTTCGCAGCAGTTCCCGCGGTGTTTGCAGCTCCCACTGCAGTCGTCGTCGCCCCGTTTTGCTGCTGCTGCTGTTGTCCAAGCGTCGCCTTCAAGGCTAGCACGCTTTCCTCCAAATGTTTCTGCTTCTCCAGCAACTCCTTCGCCGCTGCTAGGCCCGCCTCGAACCCGGAAGCGTAGTGGTTCTGCTGCTGCTGCTGAACAGTGCTGGTGGCTGCACTCGCTCCTGGTTGGTGTGACGAATACTGTTGGTCCACAGAAGCAGCACCAGCAGTACCACCACCGCCAAGACCGGCCTTGCTTCCCTTGGCGTAGTAGTCACCCTTGCCGTAGTCTCCCTTCCCATAGTCAACATTGCCCTTGGATGAATTATAGCCGGCTGGCGCATTACCGCCGTAGGTGGTTCCCGTATAGTTGTTTTTGTCGTAATAACCCTTGTCGTACGGCCCACCGCCACCGCCTTTGTGATAGGAGTTAGTACTGCTCTTGTAATGATCCATACCGCTGGCCCAATCCTTGCCCGAGGAGCCGCCATTAGACGATGATCCTTTTCCGTACCCCTGGCCGCCAAAAGCAGAATTGTTCACACCCTTGTGCTGGTAAGGATCGGATGAAGAATTTGAATTACTGCTCCCGTAGTTGTACGCGCTGTTTCCATAGGAACTAGTATTGTTGTGGTTGGAATTGTAGTGGTCGTTGTAGTTGTTTTTGTCCCCGGTGTTTTTATTTCCCTTGGTCATCGCGCCCGGAGTGTCGTAGCGGTTCAGATCCCAGTCCGAATTATTGTTTTTGCCTCCCTTCTGCGCTGCGTTATTCGACCCGCCGTTTTTGTTCCACCAATTCGCCTTGTCGTAAAAGTTCGGGAACTTTTTCAAGTCCGCTTCAAAAGGCTTGAATTGCAGGGGGATGTGGTCCTTCACCAGCGGCTGGTGATTCGCCGGGGTACTAGGTTTATTCGCCGCATTTTGTTGAGCACCGTCGTGTTGGCCCCCGCTCGTGTTTGCATACTGGAGATAAAATTCGTAATTCTTGTAGAAGTCTTCCCAGTCCCAGTTTGCGGCATTTCCTGGCGCGCCTGTCGCGGGATTGTTCCCGCTCGCGGTCGCAGCTCCGTACTGCGACATGATCCACTTCTCCGTGTTGTTGTTCCCAGCGTCGCGACCTGCTTGTCTTCTTGTCTTAGTTTTTCTCCAACTAGTACAACCACCGCGGGTTACAATACAACAGCACTTCTTGGTTTTATTTTACACAAATAGGACCAGCACACGGGGGTAAAAAAGAATTCTGTCGTTAGGTGTTCGTTTAGTTTCGTGTTCGTTAGATGTCGTGATGTTCTTTTCGTTAATTCTGAAAGCGATTTCACCAATTCTCAACGGCCGCTCCGGGGAGGAGAAACGAAGAGAAATGAATTTGGCTCCGGTTGTAGTTAAAAATTCGCTTGTCTGGAAATGCTCGAGACAGTTGTTGGCCTTCTGCTCCGCACGGATAGACCACCGCTTGGAGACGTTACAGTACGGGTCTCGGAAATAGAAAAAACTCTTTAGCTGTTCAAACAATTAAATCAATCAAGCCGTCGAAGAAAAGGAAAATGCTTAAATAGAAACACGCCGTAGCCTTAGTCACGCGGAAGATAAATCAAGTACAAAAGTGATCCACTGCCGCCCGCAGTGTTATTTTCAAATTGCTACACGACCGTATAGTACAATAACGTTCTTCCGCGGACAGAGTGTCACCGTGAAAGATTGAAATTCCGGATTTTTGCTCCGCCGAGCTGGGAAAATCAGAAATCGATGTTGGAAGGAAATTAAAGGGGAGGGGAAAAATGATAAACAAGGTAGAGTTTTCGGTGAACGGTATAATCAGTCGTCTTCAATTATGGTTTGTCGAGGTAGGAGCGCCTTCCTGTTGTTGTCGTCGGTATAATTAAATTTTTGCCTTTTGTCCAGCAGTGCGGATCGTGAGCAAGGGGTTGGAGAAAACTAGTAAATTACCGTACTGCGCATGCAAAAATGACGAGTTGCAAACTTTCTTTCGGACGAGAAACGCGTAGCGCCGAGGTTGTACGAGTTTTTTCGGACGAAAAACTGGACCGACGAGAATTTTGTACGAGGACGACCGAGACGCATTTCGCACGAGCAGGACCGATGTAGTGCTACCTTTGTCGCACCAGCATGTTCTTGCACGACATCAAACCGAAAATTTTTTGTTGCAGGACGCGATAACGCAGGGGAGGAAAAGTCTAATTGGCACATATACCGAAATTTGAAACGGAAATAAAGCGAGCCGGGTGTAATAAGTTGTCGCACTCCGCTCTCGTAGACACGATCACACGTGACCGAACCGAAAAAGGACCTCGCTGCGCTGAAAAGCTTTAGTCTCTCTTACTGCACGACCAGCGCAAAGTAGAACGGTGGTCAACCCGACCGGTAGCGTCGACCGATTTGGTTTATCTTGGACGAGCACAGGAAACGGCTTTCAATCTACTCCGGCACAAAACCGATAACGCCGGCCGTGCGGTAGATCGCATGAGATGAAGAGGTTGGAACTATGAAAAGCTACACGATGAAAAATAGCCGGGCGTGCGCCGGTAGAAAGAATCAGGGTGGAGCGGAAAATTTTTTCGCGCCACCCCCCCCCCCCGCGGAGGGACGCTTGGCAACGTGCTTCCACGCCCGCCCCTGAAGTAAGTGTTACCCCTCCGCGGCCATGTGGGTCTCCGCTGCTAACCGTGCACCAAATGCCCGGAAGCCGTCCCTAGCCAGCGCGAAGGCCAAACAGCTAGCCGTGCCGGGCCCGGCCGGGTCCGGCGCGAGGAGCGGCGGAAAATAGCGCCGTGGGGCGCCCCGCTCGTGCATCTGCGCCCTCTTGTCACCATTGGCGGGAGCTGATTAAGGCCGGCCGCCTTGTCGGCTGGAGCTTATTAAAGCTCCACCCAAAACCCGCGCCCCTACATGCGAGCGGGTACCGTTTCGGACATCCGCGGCCGCCAAGGCCAAGCAGGTACCCAAACCGGCTGCCGCCGCGGCTCCAGGCTTCGCACTTTATTCCATTACTGGCCAAGCGGGCACTGCGGGGCGTGCGGGTTGCTGAGATAGCACGCGCACCGGCTTGGCCGCATCCGGCATCGCTTTTGAAAGGCCTGGAAATTCGCAGCCGCGGCGCGCGCGGGAAGTGCGGCGCCACCCCGGCTCCCGGACCCCATGAAAAGTCGCAGACCCTGCCGACCCGTTTCCGCAGCGGGGCCCGATTAAAGCCCCACGGGATGTTGTCCCAAGCCTAGTTCCTAAAAACCCCGAGAATCCGGAACGGCCGCGTGCGAGGGCCATCCTGTCTCGGCTCCGGGTCCCGCTTAAAAATAGCGCTACGGAGCCATATTCCGTAGCTATGGCCCCCTTTTGTATTGCAGGCGGCCGATTACAGAATGCGTTGCACAGGCAAACTTTCAAAAATAGCACCGCCGGAAACCGTGTCTGCGGGCGAGCATGGACCGACGAGAAGGGCGGCCCGGGCAAGGACAGCGGAAATCTTTAAAAAAGCCCAAAAGCCGACCACCTGGGCGAACGCGACTACGCTGCCGGGCCCCGGGCCAAAGTGCTTCACCGGGCGGCCTGCGTACGGCGTCTCACAGCCTTTGTCGCTGGTGGGGGCCCATTGGCGCCAAACTTGCAGCATCTGGCCCGCTTTCCCAAAAGCCTAGAGATCCGCGGGCCTCGCCGACGACGACTGCGGTGCCCGGGCGGGAGGATCCGGCCAGAAATAGCGGCAATTGCGCTTGTTTTTCATGATTTTGCATGCTCTTTTTATCCGCTAACCCTCATAAGATCACATCGAAGACATCTGGGCTCGATTTTCCAAAATCCCAAAAATTTCAAAAATGAGGAGAATGCAAAAGATGGCCAAAAATCCGTGAAAATATATAAAAGCTCGCGCAAATCTGTGCACACTTATTACTTGCGTTATTCGTTCAAAGCAAACACGCAGCAGCTACGCGCATACATGTACGATTCTTCGGAATTTCCAAAATTTCTTTTCTCGTCTTTCTTCTTTTACTCTCTTACACTTTGGTGTACTGGTGTACAACTACCGTCTGGTCCCACGAACTCGACGAGCGCCTGCGCGGACGCTGCGCAGAGACAGCGAGCTGCTGACGCCTGGATCGAGCGCACGCTCGATACGAAACCGGGAGGCCCCGCTCCAACACAACCACGGATGCAACACGCGAAAGCACAAAGGCGTCACAGACGATGTCACAACGCAGAACCGCACAAGCACGTCGAAGTAGTGCACCGCGATAGAACATGCTATCGGCGCGCAAAGCGGTAGTATCGACACCAACCACCACTGACCTTGAGTCACAAGCAACCTGTGCAAACAGACCTGAGATAACTAGCACACTGCGTTCACATGTAAGCCACATTTTTTCACAAAAAAAACAGAGAGATGAGTCACATTCTACACAAGATCATCATCAGATGACACACCAGGGTCCGTGTCTTCGTCACCGGCCAACACACACGCGAGCTTATGCACATTTTGCGACACATCTCCTTTGAGAATCTTCTTGAAATATGTATCCATGTGGAAAGACTCACTGATTTCTGAAAAAAGACTAGGAAACACACGCAACAACACATCCATTTTTTCATCCCGGGTCGGGTAGTCCGCCAGATTGTAATCTGACGGCACCCGGGTGTTCCACGGCTTCATGTCGTGCATGGCGGAGATGGTCCAAAACTCCGCGCACAACCTAGTAAACACCCACTTCTGCTTCCCGCTTTTCCCCTGCGCCAGGAGACTCTCCTGCGCGCAGGTGTTATCAATGGCGTGGTCGAACCGCTTGCCCGCCAGATCCTTGGCGAAGTACATCAGGGCAAGCGGTGCCACGGCGGTTTCCAAGACGTTAATCGGAAACAACGCGAAGTCCGGGCGCAGCAGGTCTGCCCACACGTGCTGCCGCACGCACTTGAACACGCCACTTTCGACGTACACAGCAGCCAAAACACCTTTTTTATTTGACCATTGTGCGTCGGTGTAGAGCAAGGCGCTTTTGCTGGAAGTCGGCTCGAAGGACACGCTCCTTTTGAGCGGAAGCTTCATTACTTCCTTGACCGCGTGCAACGCGCTGGCCACCGCCTGCGTTACTGCCGTCTCCTGCTTCGAGAGGTGCCTGCGGATGGGCTTCAGCAGCGGGCTTAGGGCCCGATCCGCCACCGCGGCTAGCGCAAACGTCAGTCGCCCCACCAATTCGTTTGCCGTGGGTTCATCCAGCCAGAGCGTGGACAACGCAGCATCGCAGGTGGCGATGATCTGCGCTTTTTTCTGCTCGGTGACAGCAACAGTCGGCTTGTCGCCGCGAACATCAAAAAGGAGTCCCAACACCTCCAGGAGGTCGGCGACTTGTATCTTATCGTTCATCGCCGGAAGCCCCAGTAGCTTCAGGAGCTCGAGCAAGTAGTCGCGGACCAGGCCGCCGAGCCCCTTGGGCACCCAATTGGGGTAGTCGTCCACGTAATCCTCCGAGTTGAGGAAATAATGTTTCCTCAACACCGACCGCAGCAGCTTGCCCGGCCGGCACCAGCCGGTGACGCTGTGTCTGCTGCCGAAGATGGCAGACACAGCTTCGAAGCGGAAGTACCTGCCCACCTCGGGGTTGTACGCGAGCACCGTGTTGTACTTCCGGTGCTGGACTTTAACCATCAGGCTGTTGTAACATTTCGCGATGTCCAACAAGACGCACTCCAACTCGTTGAGAGCCGTGTTCTCTAACCTCCGCTTCTTCCTGTTGGATAGCCCTTCACTGCTGAACACTGGCTTCTCCTCGTACTTCGGCTGTACTGCGCACTCTTTTATCAAATCCGCATCCATTTGCCGCAATTCCTTCTTCACAATCTTCACAAATTGGGCTTCGTACCGTTTTTCTGCACCTCTACATTTTTGGAGTATCCGCTTGTTGTGCTTCACAATCTTCATACCGCAAACGGAAGGATCGCGCGCCGCTGCTGCATTTGCGAGCACGTCCAAAGCCCCAGGAATCGGCACACGCTTATCCAGCGGTGAACAGGCGTTTGCAGAAACCGCCGGGTCGATCATTCTGATTTTCTTCGGCTGCACACGCGGGAACCGTCTGCACCCGTAGTAGATTTTCATCCTTTCCTCCTCATTGGTCACAATGTCCTCCGCAATTGGGTGCGGCCCTCTTAGGAGCTCGCACCCAAGCTCCGGCACAATTTTCGTCTCCTCCAGACACCTGTCCCAGGTGAATTTGATCAACTCGTCGGACCACGCCGGTTTTTTGTGTCTCCCATCGAGGATGTCCTGCACCACCTTGCTAGGAACAAAATCCTCTTCGCGGCCGTTCATTTTGTCCCGCTTTTTCCGCGGTGACCAGGACTCGTCTACCTCGCATCTCCCTATCATTGCCAGCCCGTCGCGCCACACTGTCCATGCGAGCGGGTCTGTGCAATGATACTTCGCACCAAGCAGCTCCCATAAGCCCAGGTGCTTACACACCTGCGGCTTCCTGATCTCCTCGTCGATGGACGCAAAGATTGCGCTTGATCGCTCACGAGTCTCTTCTGACCATTTTTTTACTAAGTTGTGCTGCTGTGTGAGTGATTCACGAGATAAATTGGCCGGGTTAGGTAAGTGTTGCACGGTATCAAACGGATGCTCACGAATAGAGTCGCACTCGACCCGTTTCAGTACATTATGTACGTCAGCCTCGGTAGGCAACGGCATCTTAACACTACATCTATGCAGCGGAGACAAGTAATCACGTGTGGTAACTTACAATGAGAACATAAGATGGCCGCTTTGCATGTGTTACATTTGCGATTTGCATTTGCCCCAGATATACCGATCGCTGACTTGCCAATTTGTACTGCACTTTTGCACACACCGACCT